TCTATGATTCTATGATTCTATGAAAATACAGGTTACTGCCTAGAAATCCTTTCTGCAAACCTAGAATTTCTCACTAAGCAACTGCACATTTAAAGAAAAACAAGACCCAAGCCTTGATCCAAAGATTCAGGCCATCAAGTTGAATAATCAATAGATTCATTCATTGTAGATGGGACTATATTTCTGAAAACAAGGTTTGGCAGAGAGGGAAACCCAGACAAAACAGTTTACCAGTATCCTCGGTGCTTGATTTTATTTAACAGTTTACAAAAGTCTAAGCCATGGAGAGCTCTGGTTCTTTCAACTGCAGCCCCTATCCTTTGCATGCCTAAGGAATTTAGGATTTTAGGAAGGTTTTAGTTCTGAGATACACTTCTGTATCCACAAGGGGATTCCTTAAGAATGGAAGGACAACAGAATGGAAGCAGGAGATATGGGAGCATGTTAATAGCACTGTACAATGTTCGCCTTTTACGCTGCAACAGAACAATACGGCACTGCCCATTACACAGCATGTACTACATACTCAACCATATGTATTCACGTCCAGACGCCGTGGCTTTGGATTTGAGGTGCATAAAATCCACAGTGAAGAACAACATTTATTTCTAACACAGCAAGAAATTTGGTGGATTGACTACAGTGGCAAAGAAGGTAAAGACTGCACAAAAACTTCTGCAGACCTTCCCCATGAAAAGGGTGAACAGAGCCAACCTGAGCACTGGCATCCCTGCAAAGCACCCAGTGGCTTGTACACGCCAATGTGCAATAGCACAGCATGCCAAGCAGACTACAAACACAAGATGATTTGATTTCAGCCTAATCATGAGAAATGGCAGGTAATCACTAAGGTTTTTAACTGCATCTTAAACAAATCTACTTTATTAAAAGAAAAATGTATGCTTAATAGGAGGAGAAAAGTAATTTCTACCTACCTGCTCCATGTTGCTCTGGTAAAGGAAAGGGAGGAGAAGGCTCACGAGCACTGAATTCTGACTCTTTTCTTGTATAAATTTGCTGATCCTGCACAATGAGACAAGATAATTCACTATTTTATATCAATCCGATCACCAGTACAGAGCAAAGAAGAACTTCATCAGCACTAGTGCTGTATGATAGGACTTTGTCAGCCCATCCATCTGTACCCAAGCTAATAGAGCGTACCCACCAAAATCATGGTATCAGCCCAAGTATTCAGTTCCACGTGACTGCAGGCATTTCTGTACCTTTTCCTCCACCCAAGAGGCACTGGTTTTGAGACCAGCAATAGAAACCACTAGAATCAATTTCTGAAAACTTTTCCCTTCAGTCACTAGCAACTTGCAAGGTCAATGACAGAGCCAGGTATTTTCAACTGCTCTAAATTCAAGTAGTCTGAGACCTAATGTTTTTTAATTTGCAACCTATTACAAAAAGCTTCTTTCTTCCTCCCTCCTTCCGACTTTTTAACTGTTTTGAGCTCTAAAGAATCACTTACTTGGAAAGTATACTCAGCTCTTTGCTGACTTGAGCTCTATACTTCTTCTTTTTCACCTTCTCCACATTTAACATTGTTTTGCTGAAGTACTGAAGTATGGCAGGAACATGAGGGAGAACCAAGTGGCAACCTAGGCTAAGGGTCTCTGTAAGGGATATAACAGTTAGTAACATCCAACTCTGTGCTGCAAGCAACAGAAAGGAGATCCAACCCTACACAGACAAAGAGGGAAATGCAGACAAAGCAGGTTTCATCAGTGGAAGTAAAAAAGTCAACGGAAGCTACGAATGCATAGGGCACCTGGTTGCTGGGAACATGCACCAGCACCTGTTGAGACCAAGTCTAACGTGTCTGAGCTGGGACCAAAGAAAACGCACACAGAAAATAAAAGCTCTTCTCATAGATTTCAGTAACAGCCATGGAAGCGTAGACTTTTCCAAAGATACCGAGGAGGTTCCTCAAAGGTAGTAACCATCTCCTAAAATGGCTGGAGCATTTATGGATGCAGTTTTCTTTATTCTACCACTGACCTCTTGTGCAAATCAGGCACAGCGATAAGTGCTCTCCTTCCCACTACCTTTGAGTGTTACAGATGAAAGATGGCTCCACAGCATCAAGTACAGCACACCACCCTTCCAGTCTATTATCACTCAAAGATAAAAGGAATAAATGGCAGGTCTTTCTTGTCAGGGAGCAGAGACTAAACATCAGTGACACGTGACCATGTGTGCGGGCTTTCATACAAAACTTGATGTTATGCCCAGAGTCAAGTCAGCAATGCAACTCTTAAAGTTACCCTATCATTAAAGCTTCACAGACAAAACAGGTCAAAAACATTTTCCCTCTTCATAGGGAATTTCTCCATGCTCAGGACTCTGACACTCAAACATGGATCTCACCAGTCACGAGACAAGTAGAACTTTACAATTCTTGAGTATGTCAAGACAAATTTGTAAATTGACTTTTCCATCTCCACTGGGATGTGACCTTCCTCAGTATTCTCAGCCAGTGCAAAGACAATCTCAACATAATCTAACACCTCCATCCAAAGCACCCAACAGGCCTCTCACGATTCTTACACAGGCATACCTTCTGTCACATCTCCCGTGACAACACAGTCAGTCACGCTCAAACTGGAAACCTGCTCCGTGGGTTCAAAATCTGGGCTGTTGAGAAGGCTATCAGCTATGTCCATCACAAGACTGGATGTGGCCTCAGACAAATTCTTAGTTGACAGCACAGCAAATACATTTGACAGTATATCACACTCTGGGTGATCTGGCTGCTGCTTGGCCAGCAAGGGGAAATACCTGAGAGAAAGATTATAAAAAAGTTTGGCTGAAAATTTAAGTTCAGAACTTTGTAATTCTTTTGTGCAAAAAGTCACACAAAAAGGTAACGACTGTCTTCTACTTCAAACAAGGAAAAACCGCAATCACAGAATGACAGTGCCATGAAAAATAGAACGAATGGAGGTTGAGAGGTAATCAAGTCCCTTTTCTTGCTTCAAGATAGCATCACCTAAACCTAACCCTTTCTCCACAGATGTTTGTTCAAGTCTTCTGCTAGTCTGCTCCCAACCTAATGATCCAATACTATTTTTTACAGATGTTTGTAAGTTCTTCATGCCTACAAACTACATGTCTTAAAACAGATACTGGATACTCTGGCAAAGGAAAAGCAGTAAGTCTATGGAAGAGGCAAAAGCTGGAATTTGTCACAGTCTCTGCATCAAAAAAAACCTCTCTTAGAACTTTCGGTATCAGAATCTCAGTCAACAGATTCTGTGCTGAACCTGCCTACATTAAAAGAGAAAGAAACTGAACCAAAAACCATGAATGAAACGATACATTGTAAAACTGACTTTCCATCTCCCAAGTCTAAGAAATCATTGGTCAAGACACTGACATGTTCAAAAAAGTCAGTCCTCTTCCTCACTCATCAGCTGGGTTTGGGCTACATATGTGCTTAGTTTTAATATTAAGGAAAAGCAGCCCACTAAAAAGACAGAAATTGCATACACTGGAAAGCTTCCTAACTACATCTAGACTGCTATCAAAAGAATAACAGTCTTTTATAACAGAATAACAGGAAAAAGAACATATGGGTTTTGACACAATTATTCATAACCTATTAGTGTGCTGGTTTTTCCTTGAATTTTGTGTACTCAGGAGAAGTACTTATGCTTCTTTGTGAGGAGAACACTTACCTGGGATTCTTACTCCAGGTATGAATGAGTTTGAGCAGAAAAGTTGGAGAATACTGACTCTCCGGAGCCAATCTGCAGATCTAAACAAGATAAAAATCAGATACCAATGCAGCATGAGTAGGTAAAGCCACTTAAAACCTCATGTCTAAGATAGACCTCACTACAATCTATAGTTTACCATTTTTCAGAAAGTAGTTTCATCATCATTTTTCCAGCTTCCTCAATATTTGTGGAATCACTCTTAGATTACCTCACTCCTATTTATACACTATTCCAGCTACCATTTTGCTCCCTGCTTGAAATTGGCTCCCCATAGAGCCTCACATTTGCCACAGAGACCTAGCAACCTCTTCCAGACATATCTATGAGATCTTAAGCTCAACATCCAAGACTCATTCCTCCCATACCTCCTATGCTCTGGCCGCAGCATCTGCCATTCCAGCATCTGCTCTATGTCTCCATGGCCTTGCTGCTATAAAAACACCTTATCTGCCCAGGGAGAGGCTCGGAGCACTGCACTGCACCCCAGAAATGGGATCTCCTAACAGGGTTCTGTGTCCAAAACAACCCCACCTAAGAGTTTCCCAGCCTAAGCCCCTCACAATAGCTGCTGCTCCTTCACACGACCAGACATAGGCTCCTCTGCCACTCTGCAACCCGACAGGATGCACGCAAGTCACACAGCTGGGTTTCCACCCTGACCACAGCTGGACTGTCAGCCAGGCACCATTAGTGAACACACAGGTAGGGAGGGCTCCAGTGCATTCAGGGGCAAGAGCCAGGATAGTGCATGTGGGGTGTTGACTAGCTCAGTCTGGGCTTAAGACCTGAGTGTAACAGAAAAGAAGGCACGTCTGACCACCACAGCCAGGGTCTTAGAAAGCTGCTTCTCCTGCCCCTAAAAACTGGTAATGTTATTGCTCTGCATAAAACAGCTTTTCTGGATGATGTACATATAAGAGTAAACCCTTAATCTAGGAATGCCTCTGTGCAGGCTAACGATACCGAGCCTCTGCAGCATACTTCTGTGGTATGAAGAGCAGTGAACTCTAGTTCCAAGTACAACAGGCTTAAAATAATTTACCCTCTCCACGAGTTTTTATACACCTCAGTTCTAGAGCCTTAAAAAAGGAAAGCACACAGCCAAGAGATTCTTCTGTGAAAACCAATCTTCATCAAGTTCACTGGTAGAGCTGCCCTCTAGAGGGAGCTTCTGGATCGTACTACCATCCAAGTTTCAAAACCACCTCTGTCTTTCTGACATCTGCAAGGACAACATGAATTCTAACTATTTAACAACAATTTTACATCTTTTTCATATTTACTCAGTGTTTCCAAACACAATTCTCCTCAAAAGCATTAAGTGGTTTGCTGACTTAAAGCCTGAACCATATGCTTGAACTTCTCTGGGACTGCAGTAATCATTCACTGCTTTGACCACGTGCAACCCTGGTCTTGAAAAGACTCCATGGACAAACCAGGAACATACAACTCCCTGTTGCTCAGCACAGTGAAACACAAAGCTAAAAGCATTTATTTCTGCAGTCCCCCACCACAGGTCCAATAACTGTCACACAGAAAAGTAGCAAAGTGCACTCAGAAGTGACTAGTATTATTTTGCTTCCCTGAAGCATCCAGGGAAGAAGTCTGCTTCTGTGGTTAAAGAACAAAGAAATGGCATCCATTTTAGTCAGATGAATTAATTTGTACTTTAGTCTATGACTTGATTTTTCCAGGACTAATCAGACATGAGCCAAGAAACTGGCCTTGTACAAACACATCACAACGCCAGTATCTGTCTGAGGCCACATCCAATCTTGTGATGGACATAGCTGACACAATGGACTCCAGTGCAGCTGGAGTTCTCTGCATGCTACATGTCACACACAAGCTGTCTGGAAGAACAAGAAATACTTACCTGAGGCCATACCACTGCATGAAAAACCGCATCAATCTCTTCCACACTAAAGCTGTAGGTCTCATAATCAGAAAAAAACTCCACCAGGAGCTTGAGTCCAAGACGTCTCAAATTCTTCAGTGGATTAATCAATCTAGGTTGGACCTGAAAAAACAAAATTAAACGAAATCCCCGTAAGACCTTTGTAGAACAACTACTAGCTACTTGTTCTGAAAGTAAATATAGCAAGTCATTGACAACAGATACAACCTTTGCTGGAACTATCACAATGTTCTTCTGTTTTCTCCTGTAACTTGCTCGCAGTAGCAATCTACCTCTCACAGCTGACCTAAATTTTATTAAAAGGTGCCTGTTCCTGCACTGAGCCAGTTACACAGGACTCCTTCAGCTCACAAAAGTCTATGCTGGCAGGTCTGAAGTAGCATCTGCCCTTTTTGGACAAAACACAGAAAGCTACACCACATGTCCAGCCCTGACATTTAAATAATTCTGTTTTGCACAGGAAAAGACCCAAATCAGCTCTTGAAAGTGAAGTTGTACTTTGCACACTGTGATCTACTGGGAACAAAAGAAATCAACAGACAAAGAGAAGGAAAAGGAATAGAGAAAGAAAGAACGTGAATCACCTCCTCCGATGGCACAGTGGGGGAGTACAGCATTTGGTTACAGGAGATTGCTTCCTGTACCCATTTAGCGGTTACGTTCCATAGCCTTTCTTGGGGAAAACACTTCAGTAAGAAAATCAGCCACACAGCTAATCATGAAGTTATTCATGAACTGCTGCTTGACTTGAGCAACCTAAATCATTTTCATACTGTGCAATGCAACCCACAGCACAAACACATGAGGTAGCTTCACAGTGCAGAGGTACTGAACTCCAGTCTCAGGAACAAGAGTCACATCAGAGCAAATAAAGGCTGCTCTCCAAGACTGGAGATATGTCCTCAGTTCCTCAGGGTCTCCAGTACATATCATGATCCACCACACAGAATAAACATTTGTATCTCTTATTTTGCAAAGCAGCTTTGGTGTCAAAGCCTCACTGAGAAACATTAACATAAGATACCTATGGACTTCTGAAGACATTACTCTGTACCATGCAACACACTTTTATACTCCCTTTGCACCCAAAATCACAGGTAAAAAGACAAAGAGGAGATAGTGGAAAAGAAACCAAATGTCCCCTTGCCCAGGACCTCCCAAGCTGTGCTGAACATGTTCTAAAGGTGTGCAGTCAGCCTCCAGGCGGCAAATGAGCTGCATGAAGGGCCAAAGCAAGCACAAACCAGGCTGCTATTGCTAATGGTGACCCTCAAACAAAATAATTTTGAGTCTCCCACTGTTCAATTGCCCTAAGAGCAGTCCTCTGAGATCAAGTCTTTGAGAGGACAAAGAAACTCAATAATGAACGCAATGAACAGGAAACGGTAAATGAGTAACTTGGCTTAAAACGGTCAAAGTTGATGTTTAACTCTCCAGGCAGTATCAGCATGCAATAAATTACTCTCAAACTCCAAGAACATCTTCTAATCATTAGCCAAGATAAACAGATTTCTCACACTCTTCCTTGAGCTTTTAACATCTCACAAGCTAATGAAGTGCTAAATTAAGTTTAGACGAATGACAGACTGTCACTCCACGCATTACACAATGATGATAGGATTACCATAGTAACCCTAGCAAAATGTGACTATCCCAGCAATGAATGAAGCAGCTTTTAAAACTCCTTTCCCAGTTTAAAACATGTAGACACATGCAATCCATTGCTTAAGTCGGACTCTGAGATGCTGCTGTCCTAAAATTTTCTCATCCCCTTCATAAACAAAGACAGTTACAAGGTTTTGTGCAGCCTGCAGGCAACTATGGGACCTCGGATGCTGCCTGACTGCAAGGGCTTGCTTTGTTTGATGGATTGTTTTCAAGGCAAGTTCTAACCTCCAATGCTCACAGACAGATCTTGGCAAGAACACGCACACGGCCACAGAACATTCATTACCTAAAATCACTTGCTCAGTCTATCATCACATAATTCCTTTCAACACACCACTTCCTCAGTCTATCATCTCATAATTCCTTTCAGCATTGCAATGATGATGATGATGATGACTGTGCAGTTTGCTTGTTTCGCACCTAATATACAATCAGGCTCTGCAGCAGACCAGACTTGAGCTTTCCTTTTCCTCTTTAGATTAAAGCCTGCAAAAGGCACTGGTTTCAGGAAGATAGAAAAGCCTAGCTCAGTGTCATAGCTTCCAAACAGCTGTCAGCAGACCCCCTGAGCTAGCTGAGCTAAAGCTCAGGGATCTCTGTGCTGCTCTCCTGCACAGGGCAGCAGTAAGCCAACATGCCCCATCTTTAGGTACAGCAAATCTTTAACAGAATGTTTTCCTCATCTGACCCTCTCTGCATGTACAGCTATTGCACAGCAAGGGAAAAAACATTCCCAGTGCTCTGCAGATACCTGGCTGAGACCCAAATTGTGACACTGGTTTAGCATGACTACTCCTGATACAAAGCTGAACATGCTTCCAGCATGCTGAAGGCTCTGTGTCCCACGACAGGAGACAATCACTGTAGATGATCACTGTGATCATCGACAATGCTGAGCTCCCCTTGGGGTCTAGCACTGCAACAAAACACCTCAAAGACAATTTTTGCTCTAAAGTCCTCAGGCAAGGAACTTTTAAATCCTCTCCTTCCCCTGCTCAAATGTTTTATATGTGCAGTCAAGAAACTACATCTTTAAGGCCAATTTCAACTTCCAGCCATAAGATCTTGTTACATTCTTAAAAAAAAAAAATCACTTAGCCCTCCGTCATACCCATCTCTCCACAGAGCAGATAGGAAGCAACACACAGAGATCACCTCCAACTCTCTCTTCAGTAACTCAAACAAAAACGCAGTCCAAAGCAGCTTTCTAAATACATCAACTCTGCCTGTACTGCCTGAGCCGTGTAGCACTTTCAGACAAACATTGCTGGCCTCTTATTTTGACAGACATCTCTATTTTGACCAACCTTCACTCCATGCTGGCATTAAACTTATCTTTACCTGAATCAGTGAAGGTGTGTGTACATCTGCAAGCTAAGGAGAGGAGGAGGGAAAGGAATTTCATTTATTTACAGGTTTGTTTGTATATCTTTTGCATGTATAGTACCTTCTCTCTTTGCTGGAGGATGCAGGATACCACAGCTGTCATGCAGAGCAGAATCTGCAGAATTTCAGGCAGGTACTGATGGATCAAGTGTCCCATGTTTTTCAACACAACTTCAAGACCGTTGAAGAGGCTATGCTGACGACCAAGAGGCAAGACTTTAGCTAAATCCAACTCTGACATACTTCGAAGCACCGCAGTCTGGCAAGGTCCTGTGATAGGCAAAGGGAGAAGTAGAGAACCACTACCAACACCAATTTTCAATGAAAAACAGTATAATCTAGCCCTAAATTACAGATCTTCACATTCAGCTTTTTAAATAAGGACAGCTCTGGGTTTCCATCTCCCTGTGACACTCAGCTGTCTCCCACCGCTACAGTATCAGAGCACTTTACAACCTCTGTTTGATGCCATCATACGAAGGCTAGCCTGCCAGCGATTGCTCATTCCTGGCCTGCTACACCTTACTGGCACAGCTATGGCAAGTCATTCAGTTTTTCTGACCTTGAACCTGTAAAACAGAGCAATTGTGCTTTGTAAGGAAAAGCTCAGGGGAATCCCAGTCCTTATCAAAAGTTTATTTTCATCCTTCCAAGGCCCTGTTAAGAGAAAAACTGAAGCACATAACAGTACTAAGTGTATTTATCCTCCCACACCTCTACAGGTCAGGAAGTACCATACCCTCAGGTTCTACTGCCTGTACCTACCATTACTGAACTGCTTCACAGCTTCAAAGAGTAGATCCAAGAACATCCGTATCTCTTCTGGCAGTGAGCCGGCAAGAAATCGCAGAACGATGGACATGCGAGTGCCCGCTGAAGACTTGCCCTGTGTTTTGCTCCCTGTTTTATTTCTCATTCTGCCATAGAGAATTCTTCAGAGCCAAAAAGAGGTTGCATTAGCTTTCAGCAAGTCACCTGTTTCCTAGCCTCTTATTCTGCAGGAGAAACTCCATTTAAACACATTCTCTAGTGAGAATAAGCTGAGTGGAAGTCTCCCCTTCAGGGTCTCTGCTGAATTACTACACATTGCCCCAAATCATCCCAGTGAAAGATCAGCTTCTGCTACTATAATAGAAGCTTTGCTGGAGACTTCAGGTATAAAACTGGTTATCTGCATGACAACTTGCATCACTGTATCTTAATAAAAATAAGTGGCAATACCAGTGAACTGAAATGTTCTCACAGTTCTCTGTAAGCCTTAGCAGAAACTGCATTTACCAAAATGCTGTTTTTAATTAAAAACACCATTTGCACAAAACGTTACATAAATGCATTAATAAGAAAACCATACAAAAATCACTAACTAAGTCGTAAAACCATACCACTAACCACAGGTTTATCTCAACTGTTTAAAATGAGAAGCAGCAGCAGCATGACATCTCTGCTCACAGTACTTTGATGTGAAACTTTCTAACTTGTGCTTCATGACACACCTCATAAGAACAGGGATGAGATCTGGTCGATGCTCCGTTTTTACTACTGCGGTCTCCTCAGAAATACTGAAATGGACTATTTCTTCCTTAAAATTCTTGTCCTCCAGTAGCCTTTGCAAGTTCTCCCTGAGTAATAAACATTATTTAAGGGAAGGTAGGGGTTATAAGAATAAACAAACACACACACACACATCTGTATCTAATTACCTACCTATTTAATCTATGCTGTATACAAAACATAAAGTACTATGTTCCCAATCTTTTAACAAAAAATATTTTAAAAGCTAGCAAATTCAAGCTAATTATGTAGTAAAGTACCTCCTGGACATATTCTGAAGAGATTATGCAACCACAAACTACAGTTTTATGCTGTCACTTTCTCTAGGTGGTCATAAATCACCGGTACAAAAGACCTCTTTGAAAATGATGCAACTACTAAGCACACAATATTCTGGGATAGAATGAAAGTTCTGCCATTTTCCTGTACACAAAAGAGAGACACTGACCAACCTCAAGACCTTATTTCCTGTTTTAGATAGCCAACACACAGCTGGCTAGAATGAAAACTTATACATATGTCTTCAATAAATACAGGAAAGACTTGTCGGAGAAGTTTCCTGGCTGCTACATGGGAAGCACCTGTGCCTTGTCGAGACAGGTGCTGCGAGTCACATTGGTCAGCCGGAGACCACGTGACCTATGGGAGGCTTAAAGGCGGGGCACTCCCCTCAGGGAGGGGGGCAGTTCTCTCCTGGAGATTGGAGAGGTAGGAGTCCCCGGAGAGTGGTGTATTGGAGCTCTCGGTTGAATAGCCTTCTGATTGAGAGAGCAGTAAGTTGAGGCTCTCTGTTGGATAGCCTTCGATTGGGTCCATTGGGATTGAGACCCTTAAGAGTTGAGATAAAGCCTTCTGATATACGAGGGGAATCACAACGGCCTTTTAGGTTGTGATTCCTAAAGACAAGATACCAGCGGTCCGCGACAAAGACTCTCTCTTTGAGGCAACTGACCCTAAACAGGCTTCTGATATGACAGCAGGCTCGTTCGCCAGTGATAAATTAATTAAAAGCTTTTACCTGTACGGCAGTAGATGAGGATGCTTGTATGTCATTATACAGTCAAGAGCTATTCTCTGTACATTCTGGTCTTGATGGGAAAGTAACTGGAAACAACAAAAGAAAGAAAATGAGTCCCTACCTAAAAGACAGAAGTGCTTACTGAGAATAGTGAAACAACCCAAAGGCTTCGAGCTCAAGTAGGTTTTGGATTAATTTATCAAAATGGAAACAGAATGTATGTGTTGTCAGTATAAAGCCAAAACATGAATACACAACTGGCAATCATAAAAAGCAGATGTGGTTGCTGGTAATTCATATATACTTTCCCTCCAATCTACATAGGATAGTTATAATATTTTTTTTTTTCTTAATTGTCTTTCGGACCAATGTCAGTTTGTATTTTCAACCTCCAAAACCAGTTATTAGTTGTGTATTGGGCAAGACTGGATTAAAAAGCAGGCTACCCAAAACATCTCAAGACACATGTATTTCTTTCCTATGGCAAACACAAAATACTGCCAAGACTTGATCGCAAAGTCTCACTGAGATTTGCCCTTTCTTGAAGATGATTCCTCATAACCTAGGCACTAAGAAATACAGACCATTTGCCCAAGCGGCATCCATATCAGTCTCTCAATCTCCTACCCAACAGCACAGGCTAGAATCATCAAAGGTCACTTCACCGTGAGGTCCCTAAGCCAGATGGACACACCAGCCATGACAATACATAGGCTAAGACAAAGAAATGGCAAACAGTAAGTGATTAAGTAATTTCTCCTCTTATGTCAGGCTGTTCTTCACACAGTTTGACCTATATACATCTGTTCAATATTTTCCTAAGTATACAGGCAAGAAAACACATGGACCAAATCTTTTCCTAAGGAAAACTTGGAAGTTGACTGAAATAAGAGTGGGTGTTCATTAGAGATTCTTAAATCTGGGGACTAATGAATGGACCCTCCAACTCCCACACCGGGTGCCAGGTAAAATCCAGGGAACCACCAGGTTTGTACCATTTAATACAGTTCTACAGCCCAGTGACCACAGCCTCAGATAATACAGACTTGGAACAATTAGAGCAAACCCCAACAATCTGAACAAATCCAAAAATCAGGAACCAACCAAACCCAGTAAAATCAATAAAATATCCATTTAAGGAGCATAGGATAAAGACTTAGCATCCCTCTTGAGAGTCACATTTTTGACAATTCCTTCAGGGAAATCCCTCAGAAGGAATCTTATCAAATTGAATATTCTTCAAGAAGAAATTCTGTTTTCTTTTTTTGATGCAAAATGATCTGTTGTTCAGACTGACCACACTCTTTGTAGACAAAACACTGTAGGACTAGGACAAATCTCGTCAGGTCTTCCCCAAGCTTTAGATCCAAAATCCTCTTCCAGATCCTGCTATGCAAGTGGGACAGACTCCCTCCACAGCTGCTCTTCCACCATGCCAAAGACAACTACTTGTCTGCTACAAGATCAGTTTGCATGAGCCGCTCCTGGCAAACAGTCAGCTATCTCAAGCAGGTCTTTGCTAAAGGGGAACATTTCAAGTGAAGCCTGCTTGGAAGCCCTCTCAAGGACTGCTCCTTTTTCAGCTATCATGACTGGGTTCAAAAAATGACAGGTTTCTGCAATCTCAGACCCTGCACTCAATGAGATCATTTATTAGCAATAGTTCTAAAAGCCAGCAAATAGCATCACCTGGGTATATAACGCGTTCAACTTCTGCTCCAGATACAATGCACGAGGATTTGAGAATTTAGAGAAAACTTGTAAGTGAGCTATTAGTTGCCTGTAAAACAAAACAAAACAAAACAATCATTTTTCAAAATGACCAGAAGAGACAATCCTGCATTACCATAAACAAACAGGGAACTTCTCTTAAAATCAATTAACAAGAAAGAAAAAAAACCCCAAACAACAGGATCCCAAGCCTATAGGCCTCCATTTCAGTGACAAAGCAAGAGGTATCCAGTTCCCTCTCCTAAGCAGCTCCTTCTAGATGTCACTTCACTGCACAGAGAAGGCCATTTCCTCAGTAGAACTAGATGGGCTCAGCTTTTGATGAGAACGGATTAAAAACAGTCAGGGTGCAGCTTATTTCCCTCTGCCAGCCCAGCTTGGAACATCAAACAGGTGAATTTACCTCTTTATTTATTCATGTGTCCTTAACTGGTGCTCATTTCTCTCCTATCAACATGAAGGGGCTGCATTTAGCCACAGAATGTGCTGGACTTAAGCTGGACTGCAAGCACAGATGGGAGTGAGTTCTTCTAGAAGTGGCTGTGTCACCCCACATCTGCCGCACCTCCACTTTGTGGGAGGGGAGAGAGGTGACCAGGATGAGAAAGGTGTGAGACCTCCTCTACCATACACGCTGTGGGGCTGGCAGAGGCTGTCCTCATCCAGCTGGTCTGCCTGGTAGCTCACACCGAACTCTCCGGACACGCTCCTCCGTGGCTGGGTTCAGCCAAAGGACGAGCACAACTCCTTCCGGTGGTGCCACGATGCGCTCGGGGCAGGCTGAGCCCTCCTGCTGCTCCAGCCAGACCCCATGCGCTGCGGCACGGGCCCAGCTGCACCAACTCTCCAGGGCAAAGATGAAGGGAGGTCGCTGCAGAACTCATTAACATGCCTCCAGCAAATCTTTTACACCTTTGTTACTGCTACCAGGAAGTAATGTTTCTACTTAAGTACAAGAACATTCTGAGATGGATGTTAAAAAAAATAAAATAATCTTGGACCTTCATTGTATTTTAATTGCTGCTAATTTGCAGATACAAGTCAGAATCTGGGAACAAAATGAAACACCTATAGGACACTTGAGGTTAAATAACAATTCAGGTTACATATCAAATACTTGTCGTGTTCCAACACACAGGGTGACGTTTTGAAGTTCTCTGTCACTAAAAGGGCCGCCCTTTGCAGAAAACGTAGCATAATACAAATCTTTGTGATGTATTTGTAATGGACATTGGACAAGAGGTCATCAGGGTAAAAAGACTCTGATTAGAGAAATTGTGGAGAATTCAAGCAGAGAGTCACTTTCTCCATGTATTTAGCACTGCAAACAATGACATTACAACAGCATGTAACTTCAGTTGAAAACACCACCAAATAAAAATCTTCATCCCTAAGACCACCAGGGCCAAGACTTGTAACAGGCAGACAATGGCAGAATGCCAACACTAAAATACCTAAATGAATAGTCTCATTTTTCAAAATGTTTGGCAATATCCACTGTTTTAAAAGACCAACAGATAAGCCAGGGGAACGCAGGCACAATGGCCCCCAAAAACTTCAGAATGGCTTCAGAATACCACATAGTTTTTGCTTAGAGTAACACAAACCACAGACCGTCAGCAGATAATGAGTTAATGATAAAGCCTGGGCAGGGTCTTTGGATGTTTAGTACTGTGCAGGCAGTTTCTGACTCTAAAGTGCTTCTAATACACTGAAAAAATATGAAGTGCAAGCAAAAGAAGAAAAAGAACTCTATATAAAAACATTGCTTTTATCTCAACATGAGCTGCTGAATTTGCCTTTCTGTGAAAGCACTAGCAGAATAAAACTAAAAGTACTTACTTAGCAGCAGCTCTTCTGGTTTTCTTTTTTGGTAGTCCTATAGTAATTGGTCCCCCTTCTTCTTTTTCTTCTTCCTCCTCCTCCTCCTCCTCTTCCATAGCAGCATCATTCACTTCTTCACCCAGTATTTCTTTTGCTGCTGCTGTACCACTAGTTTTCTTTCTAAGATCCTGAGATGGAGCCACTAATGAATCTGCTGGGTAGTACTCATTTCTGTGGTTAAAAAAAAAAAAAAACAAATGAGGAGGAATGAATTAAGCAGTATAGCATTTTTCAGGGTTTCAGGGCAAGAACAACTAAAAACTCCACAATCCACCATTCTAATTATTAATGGCACTGTGTCTCGGGACACTATATGGCTAAAAATTCCCAAAGAAGCATATTTCAGCACATATACACCTCTTTGCCTACAAGTTGCAGAGATATAAGGCAGTCACCAAATAAACTAACGGAGACTGGAGGTACCTGGTGCAGAGAAGAGAGACATGCATCACTGAATTACTAGAGGTCTGTAAAGAGGTTATATGGAGGACATAGAGGTTGTGTTTGCTTGAGTACAGCAGTGTGAGAGTAAGTGAGAAAACTAATCTACTACAGTATGGTTCAATTTTTCCAGGAAGGTAAGCAAAATGTAGGTTTTCTAATCACAGAAAAGGAGTATCAGAAATCTGCCCCTGCCATGAGATCACATCTACCTCATGCACATGCACATACTACCTGATATGTGCACGCATGTAAGCGCACCACTGCGCTCCCTCCAGGGGCAGGAAATTGAATCAGCCTCTAACAAAACCAGTTGTTTTCCCCATCTTGGGGGAAAATAGTTTCATCTTCTGTGATTCCAAATTAAAATGTATTTTCATTTTTAAAAAAGGGAACTTTATTTCCACTGAAATCAATACCTAATGAAGCAACGAGGCTGTGGCAGCTGCGACAACAAATAAGAGATAGAGCAGCAGAAACATACTGCCACTTTCATTTCAGCCTGCTTCTTGTGTGTTGTTTCTAACAGAATCCACATTTCAATAAAAAGGTTATCTTTACTGGAAACAGACATCTCATCACTGATGCACTCAAGAAATAAAAGTCTATAATGGGATAGCCATAGCCTTAAATCTCAGCAACACAGTGAAAGCAATGTGTCCTCTCAACTAAAAATAAATCTTACTTACCTAATAAATCTCAAAAGAAGTGGGGAAAGTTCCCGTGACCTAGGCTCCACTCTGTCTGGAAACTTATCCAGTGCTTTCCACAGTAGAAAACGGAAGTTTGTGTGGTCCAGCCGCTCGCTGCAATCTGTTCTAGTCCTTAGCTGCTCCAGGAAGACAGTCCCCACCCCTCCTTCTGGCATATTTTCACTTTCTGCTTCAGCAATGCTTTCCTCCTGTTCATCTAGTTCATTTTGCAGCTCCATTTCTATAGAACAGATGAAGAAAACCTCTTCAGGTTACTTCATAATCACCAGGACTGAGGGATCAGTCCTCCACTACAAAAATAATACTTTTGGGGACATGTACCTATTTGGACAACTGTGTTTAACACTGACTTGAAAGACTCGCATTCCTTCAAAAATATTTTAGGACACCTTACAGCCCTGACGCATCTCAATTAAGCTCAGTTCTCTCGAATAACAGAGAAGCCCACAAATGGCTGCACGCTCATGGGTCTATCATGAAATCATATATTTCGTACACCCATAGGTAAACCTCAAGAGCACACCCAACAAAGACACTGACTGCAGGAATTCCACTGAATCTATGGAGCAGAAAGATGGTCAGGTCTATTATACAGGTTTTGTCATTGTTCCTGATCCATCTGGGCAGAGCCAGATTTAAGCAGAGATGAAACTGTTGCATGGCTTCCCATAACCTGCAACTCCCTCCTGTGAACACAGGTGTCTTTTCCATTTAATTCTCCATGTTCAGGACAGAAGGAGTCACGGTTTTCTCCCAAGCCTCTCCATTTCTGCCCTGGACATGACACTGGTAGTCAAGAGCCCTGATTCTGAATTCCCTCATCACACATAGATTTGGAGCACAAAAAAGACAGTCAAGTCATTCACAACTGGCTGGGATACTGTCATAACAACTTTTAAGAGCTATGACTTACCAGCATAGGTAGCAGCTCTCTCCAAATGTTCATATAAGACTTTCCAGAACTGTTTATTCTCCATTTCCTTCGCATGAGAACTAACAAAGCATAAGACAGCAAGAAATTAAAAGGAAAATAAAAAAAAGCCAGTCATCACTAGGCAAGTTGACAACTAAGTAGCTTTGATCACTGCTTTAATGTGGGTGTCCAAGTACAGGACATCTGCACAATACAGCTGTAGCACTTCTTTGCCTTTACTCATGGATCCCAAATGTCAATTGTTATTAAAATAATCTGGTTGTATCTCATGACTTCAAATGAACTCAAATTGAGTAAAAATTTCTCAAGCTTTATACTGACTTCTGTACAGTAACATCATATAGAACCAAAGGAAGAATTAGCATGGATATGTCTTTTGAAGAACTGGTTTAATTTTTTTTTATTAATTCATTAGCTTGAAGGGGAAAATGCCATCCTTTTGAATCACACAACAGAGGAGAAAAACCAAGAAGATAAAGTCATGCTGAAAGCAGACACTGATTTTGGTATTTAGATCAGCTGTCACCATGGTAAGCCTTCCCTACTCTTTAACAGGATTTAAAGGTTTTCCAGTAAGGACAGCAAAGTCAGAAACGGGGAAAATGAGAGGGACTTCTTGCTCCTTTAAGCATTTGTGAAAAACTAATCAAATCCTGCTACTTTTGACTCAAAACTCTGATGGTATTTGACAATATTTGTTGCAACTTCCCTTTAATAGAAAGAAAAATCAGAAACTAAAATTAAAAAGAGTCTACACAGGTTGCAATTTATTTGAGAGATTAAATTATTCACATGAACATTCCTATGCACAGCTCTCTCTAAATCGGACATTTTTACCTCAGCTCTTTGTTCACAGAACAATAGAAGGAATTGTTCTGCGAGATCACCACAGATTGCAGCAATCAACCGCATATACTCACGTTATGAGTTCAATTACAGGATCCCAGAGAGGGCTGAAGTTAATATAAAGCATTCCCAGTAAATACCGAAGAGGCACCTAGAATGACATATAAAACCATCTTGTTGAGATGTAAAAAACAATAGTTAAAGACCAACCAACCTCCTCTAACCTTTCTTCCTCTCAAAGAGGAAACTTTGATCAAAGAAGTTCTCAGAAGTACTACAAATAACGAGGCAAGTCAGACACATCATCACTCCTTGCCTCATAGCTGTATGAGGAAAACTAGAGCCCATTTATTGTAAACTGCACTGAGATCTTGTCACGACACCTACATATCCATATCACGAATATGCAAAAACCAGTTCGGCACAGCAGATTATCTGGATTACCTGCCTCCCTCTCAAAATTCAGGACTGCCATAGTAGCATTACGGACCTCAGAATGAAGAAAGTTTGCCCTGAGGAGTCTTCACTGCATTAGGCCTAGAAGCATGTCCTCTGGACTAGCTCCTTGCTGACCTATACGTAGTAGGACTGACCTACAACCCTTCCTCACTGAAGTTACAAGTCAAGGTAAAAAAAATTAAACAGGTACAGTGATAGACACAAAAATAATAAAAAAAAACCTCCCATCAAATCCATGACCATTTAACTAGTAAAACTGTGACCCTTCCAACATCTAGGAAGTGAGGCTCCCTTTAGCTCAGCAGCAGTGAAGATTCAACAGTCAAAGGCATACAAGATTTTTACCCTAGGCTCTCCTGTGGCCAATGGGGGCTCAACGTTCAACCATGCTGAGGGTATGGCAAGGTTATGATTTTAAATTTGCATATGACTTACTTCCCCCTGGAATCATTTGTCTTCCCTTCCATGATACCGAAACCTGGTTAATCTCATTGTGGGCCATTTATCTGGCTAGCATTATTGTTCTATCAAACATTCAAGAGAACATAATAGTCACAAGGACAACGGGAGGTGTGATCTCTACTAACAAGTAAGTTTTCTAAAACCTAATCTGGGAGATAATTAATTTTTTGATGAAGCCTTATTAAAAACTCTGCAATCCATGTGATAGAATAAGAACATTCTCTTGGAATAAAAGAATAATAGAATGTGACAACTGCTTTTTCACAATAACTACTTACCTCCTGCAAAGATCCACTTGGTATTGCAGACTGCACTATATCACACCTTAGTTTCCTCAAATGGAGAAGTTTCTCTCTGTAATCATTCACTGTTGCTGGCACAAGTTCTGCTTGGAGCAATGTGGCAAATACTGGCTGGAGCTCCCCAGTGCCATCACTCTGAACAAACAAGTGACATGCGTTAAGAGTATCCTTTTCTCACTGAAAGGTATTTTAACAAAACTATAGAGAGTCCCAGCCATTTTGGATGACAGAACAAAGTCAAGGGGCTTGCTCCAGTTTCCACCGCTTTGGGATTACAACTCACACATTTGAAAACATTAGGAGGCAGGAGGACAAAGAGATAGAACTGGAATGTGAAAGAACAAAAGCAGAGGACAGCCTCTGCCACACGTGCTTTGTTTGTGTGAAGTTCACACACGACACGAAATGCAGATGGCTTTGAAATGTTAAATGAAATGTTTTAGCCCTACCTCAATCTGTGCAGAAGGTAGATTCTCAAAATGGTTTAGAATTCGAACAGTCAACAGCCGGACCTATCCGAAGTGGAAGTATACGTCAGAAGCATGCAGGAGAATGCAGGCTACATACGGAGACACGAACGCACCTACACAGAGGTTAAAGTTTTGCACTGGAGGCTGATGTCACTAGGTTCCTCCTAGAGCTGAGAAACAGATGAGCTCCTGTAGCCTAGCAGGCAATTTGAAATGAATATGTCAGGCTTCTGCTCTGATTCACCTCTAGGGAAGCAGCAAGCCTCCTAGGGCTAAAACTTTTAACCTCTGTTAACTCATGCTCCACGGCAGCCTCTTACAATTGAACAGTCCTAAACAGATACTATGGAAGTAACAGCTTTACAGTCTTGTGTTTCTCCTTTCAGCCTTTGTCATTTAAGTTTACTTAAATTACATTGTTAAAATACAAATTATCTTGCACTGGCTCAAAAAAGCAGATTACCTTGGAAACACCAGTGGAAATATTAGGATGCAACTTCTCAAACAAGTCCATTAGGTTCCCTTGGGAAAGGGGTTCCTGGCAGCCACTCAATGCCAACCTCGTGTAATAGAGATCAGCCAACAGCAACGCAGAGGGGTCTGAAGGAAAAGTGCTAAAACAATGGAGTGTTTTATTAGCATACAGAGAGCACTGCAACCATACAGGTATTTGAAAATAAGGCAGTAGTGACAACAACAATATTAAGAGAAAATTCCTCATGAATTCAGACTCTGCTGGCACTAGCAGGCTGGGGAAGTTAGACTTCACCAGCATGCTGGCTTACAGCCTCAAAGCCCAATTACCTATGAGATCCCAAGAGGCACGAGATTTCTCCTTTGTACTAACCAGGTCTGTCAAGCTGGAGCTAACAGGCTGGACCCAGACACACATAGCTGCAGAAAACAAATCTGCATAGGTCAGACAAGTCAGCCATCAACTTCAACAGAAAAAAAAATAATCTGGGTTCAGGTGAGACACCAGGAAACCTCCCTGTCCAGAGCGAAATCGCCTTCTGTCACCTAATATTCCTTGCACCAAGCGAGTTTCACACCCCTAGCTCAAAGCTGGCAGAAAAGCACTAGACTGAAGCTCACTGCCAAGACATCCTGCTTGATCCGGGCAAGCTGTTTCATCTCCATCATGTCTCAGACATGGGCACCATGCTTTCCTAACTGAACAGGATGTTTTGAAGCTCAAGCCACCAAAGAACTGGAGATGCTCCAGCTCAGCAGTGATGAGAGAATCAGCAGGATTTGCTTGAAAGAGATCAACAATCTCCCTCAATCCCTCCAGCCACTCAGTTAGATGTACTAATTATAACTAGAAGAGAGTTACAATAAACAAAATGGAGCATACAAAGCTTCCTCCTATTGTGGAGCAAGCACACACGTGCCTACATAGGGACATGGTGGAATCACAACACCGCCAACAGATTACAGAAGTTCAGGCTTTTGACACAACTCAGAACGCACTGTTTCTGCCTCTTTTATCATTACAGTGTAACAGAGTTAACTAAGCTTAGTGCTTCCAGGCAAAACTAGAACCAACTTACTTGACACGTTACTCTGCAACTAAGAAAGCTTCAGCTTGCAGAGAAAATGTCACCGAACAGGCACTATGTCTACTTGGTTCTCCCAACAAACAGTGCCTACAACATTGCCACCTTACATAATCACAATACTGAACAACACGCTGGCCTAACAGAACAGGCAACACACAAAGAGGCATTTAACAAGCCCTTACACAAAGGCAAAGTCAACTCTTTACTGTACCAAGGAATAATGAATGATCACAGAACAGGCAGAGTTTACTTACGTCACCAAGCTCTTGACACGCTCCACAGGTAACAAATGGAGTATTTCAGACGACTCTACCAAACTAAGAAGAGTACTTACAGCTTGGCAGGCCACGAACAGGCTTCCTGGAGCAGACAGAGAACAAGAACAGCCTGAATATTTACTCAGCTCTCAACGACTTATGTTTGTTTGGTGCTTGCCCATCTGGAAATGGCTAGAGTCACAGAAATAGGGTAACATATGGATCCCAAAACCGACATGTGTATTTTCTATACCATTATCATAACCCATGAAGGAAATACTCCTCTGGCTATAAAAGTAAGTACCTACCCCAACAAGCCAGCATTGAAAACTGTGAGCAGCTCCTAGTTTGCATCTGTTTCTGTCATACCCATATACACAGAGAGCAGAGATCTGGAGCTAAACACTGTTGCAGGAGGCTCAGACAGCTCTGTGCTACAAATGGCACTCAGAAATGAAGAAATGCTGCTCAAATTGATATAACTGCAGCACAATAGAAGCAAAAATATACACTGATGCTACCACACAAGTGCCTATAAACTTTGGCACTTCAGCAATACACTACTCTGAGATCTTGGAAGCTACCCCATATACTTAAAGACTAAGCATTTGTTAGTGAATTGAAGGTGGGTTTGCTGAATTTTGTTACTGAATGTTGTCTCCTTCCTAAACCTCTCAGCCACCTTTGGGGATGGAGGGCTTTCCAGTGGCATAGGAGAGCCAAAGCCCTTCCAGGCAAGAAAGGGAAAGGGCAATTCCTGTCCCCTGTCACTCCTAATTTAGCAAGTAGGTTGTTTAAAATAAAAAATATAAAAATTCCCTCTCCTTTGTCTCTTCTCAAGTAGAAGAAATACTGTTCCTAAACCAAGCAAATTGAAGAAGGTTTTGAAAGGACATAATTTTCTCATATGCTGCCAGCTGCCATATGCGGAAGTGAGCATGCATTTCCCATTTATTCCTTTGAAAACGTCCCTCATTCCAAATTGCTTAACTCCCCAGGTGTGTGCCGAATCCTGCTCACCATTAACCTCCCAAAGGAGCTCCTCAAAGAGAGGAGAAGAAACAGCAAGTAATGGCAGGATGAAGCTTTCTGTATCTATAGTGTAAGGACACAGGTTCCTAAACTGTAATCTGCATACCATCATAAAATCATAGAATCACAGAATGGTTAGGGTTGGAAGGGACCTCAAAGACCATCTAGTTCCAACCCCCCTGCCATGGGCAGGGAAACCCTCCACTACACCAGGTTGCCCAAAGCCTCATCCAACCTAGTAGTAGTATGTCCGTGCTGGACAAAGATAGTGGCTCTGACTTCACTGTGGACACACCAATATGATCAATAGGCCAAGCATTTCCATACAGGCAGTTAACCCTGAACACTTCCCATGGATAACTTGCTGTTGCTCTGTCCTTGTTCAAAAGCCTGCTTCCCTGCAGTCCACAGCAACTGTAGAAAACCACCCAGTTCTGGGACTTGCACTTTGCCTGAGGCTACAGAAGCCAGGCAGGTCACCCAGGGAGCCCCGGGCTAGGGTATGCCTTGCATGAGCAATGAGAGAAGACCAGAGTCACAGCAGAAGGTGAAGGAATTGCAAAGATCATGGAGCTGGAAAGAACACCAGAGGATGAAGAATCCTAATTTGGGAGGAGAGTGAGGAAAATCAGGCAAAGAAGGATGGGGCAAAAGGAGGCAGGAGTGTAGGACTCAGGTCGCATTTCTTTTCTCTTATGGGCAAAGGAAGAAATAGTAACACACACAGAGCTGGTGCAGAGCTGCTATATATCAACGAAAAGCAAATAAACAGGAAATAACCATAACTGACCTTTAAAGAGGCTTCCTTTGTCAATGGCTGTGAAGAGAGTGTCTATAAAACTTGTCACATGGGATAGAATGTGTTCTTTGTCCATTGGCCTGTCCAAAATAAATGGGAAGAATTTCTGCCTCTGTGTTACAGACACCTACACACATATGAAAGCTTTCTTTCATACTTATCTTGTATTAAATTACAGATAGCTCACCCCAAGTTTGAAACTGGCAGCAAACCATTTTTGCTATTTCAGATTCACAATTTAAGTTGTAGCATTCATTGCACCTCCCTTCTAACTACTTCTTCCATACAAGAACTTCATAATTAGTGAAAAAAACACTGTCTAGAGAGGACAGTGCTTAAAACACAGAAACTGAAATGTGTCAAGAATATCTCTATGTACTAGAGTATTAAACTTAGGGAGTCGGCAATCAAGAAACTGATATTCTATTCCTGACATTACTATTGACTTACGGTTTTTCCACACAGTATTTTTTTGCCTTCTAACCCCAGTTTCCTCAAACTAGAATTAGCAATTATTGTCATTCCCTTAGTAAAATGATTTCTGACAGATAGCAAAGTAGACAATGCTACAGAAATACATGACAACAGTACCTTACAATATCCCTTACCTAATATGTGGCAGTACAACCAAGGCAACCCAAGGCTGTGAAAGGTCAGTGATGTCTTCCTTCTCTGGTAAATGCATTAAAGACAGTACATAATCCAACACTGGTACTTCTGCCTTTGCTCCTTGTCTTTTACTTGTTTGTTGTCTTGTGTTAGAACTAAAAAGAAAACCAGACTTTTCAGCAACCCTCCACTGCATATCAGAGATTGTTTCTTTTCCTCCCATGATATTCAAAATCATGTTTGCTATTTCTAGCAAAAAGGACTTGAACAACTCAAAAGAGATTTTTTTAATGTCCTCCACAGCACAAAATACCATCTAGTCATGTCAAGGCTGAGGAGCACAAAACATGGCCCACGAGAAATGTGAGGTCTCTATTCCAAGTTCAAATAATATTTCTAGAAGGAAAGATACTAGTTTTCAGTTGGACACCCTCACAACAAGGAGGTATAGCCTCTAGGAGCACCCTGGAGATGTGTCTGTGATTGTTGTTAACAAATCATGATCATGCTGACGTAGATATACTAATGGATGACGGAAAAGATCCAATGAGGTAAAAGTTTGGGGACTTAAGAGGAATCACAAGCTGAGCCCAAACCAATAAGCCTATCTGCAGGCAGAAAGGGCTGACACCAATCTGGAACATATGAACACGAGCACTTCACACCCCATGGACAATAATCTTTCCATTCCACCCAGCACTTGTCAGACTCAGAAGGCTGCATAGGCTCCACCTTTCAAGACAGGCAGAAGCTAAACAAAAAGACAGCATCAAGAACGATTAGAGGTTTAAGAAACAACACTTCTGAGATAAACCTCAAGGAATTAGGATTTTTGGTCCAGAGAAAAAAGATTTCAGATGTTTCTGATGATCAGAGCTCCTTACTTGTAAAAGCTGGATGCAAAGAGAAAGAAATAATCTGCTCTTTATGCTCTCTGCAGATAAGCAGCAATGGATTTAAACTGCAGTAAGAGAAGTTCAGTTCATACACTGAGGACTGGAGGGGAAAAAATAATAATCAAATCCTGTATAACCATAAAGACAGTAAAGTACTGGCACAGACTGCCAGGGGCAGCTTGGTAATCTCCAGAATTGGAGTATGTAGTAACAAATTGGTCAGACATCTTTCAGGACTGGTTTGGGACTCGCCAATTCCATCCTAGGTAGGAGATGTGATACACAACTCTTGAGATGTCTCCCAGCCCTATTTTTTGCCACTGACATTGCAAGAGCACAAAGAAGTCCCAAGCACAAGGTCCTCTTAGCTATGTACTCCATAGCACTGAAAATACAGAGAGAACAACAGACAAGGGAAGAAAAGCAAATTTAATTCTTTTGACTCAACCTTCTGCTCCCTAAACCCTAATACCTCATCTCTATTAAATAAAAACAAGAAAAACTCAGAGCGAATTGCTTTTAGGAAAGATAAAACCTTACATAAAAGGCAATACAAGTCACCGCTCTGCAGGTGAAAGTTTTGAATTATCTGTGCTGAGTGATTAGAACAACTGTTATCAGTAGATTAGCAACGGTCATTCTGTGCTTGACAGTGGTTACCACCCCAAACCTTTCCCAAGAGGCTCCCTGGGAAAAGCAACCTCTTCATAGCAACCAAGCTAGCTTTGCAACTAGAAGCAGTCAAGCTGTGCCAACACAGTGCTGTATCTGGATTAATTATATGCCCTTCAGCACCCAGCTGTGCTCTGTGGTAAGACCATAGTACTGCTGCCAAGAAAGGCCCCGGACAAGACAGGGAAGAAACAAGGGGGAAAGGCAGGTTAGTAGTGATAAGAACTTGGACTGTAGCACTCACTACAAAGATTAACTAGCCAAGGATGCAGCATACATCTTGGTGTAACAAAACCCCATCACACACCTACCGCAACACTCACTAGTCTTTTCGCATCAGTGATAACCTTTCCAGAGCAGTTATCTCTTCTCAAATAATCTCGGAAGGAAAAATGGGATTCTACTGTATCACTTGTTTTGCAAATCTGCTGGCAACATTGCCATTTACACAACTCTAGTAAATACTGGAGGCAACTTTTACGTAGCTCTGCACTGCTTTCAGGCTTGCAGTCATGCAGACACATCTAGTGTTTGCTAAACTTGAGACGTCTCACCTGATGGATGATTCAGTGAAAATGAGAGGATACTTTTCAAACGCCATTGAACCAATGGTAGGAGGCTCTGCTTTCACCAGAATGAGTTTAGCCAGAATTGCCATTGCCTCATCCTTTGCGAGGGCATCTGTGCCAGAGAAGCAATGCTCAATGTACTCTAGAAAGCATGGAAGAAAATGCTGAAGGGGGGGAAGTAAAAAAAACAAACAAACAAAATAATAAAGTCAAGGGTTAGTAAGTCTCTTTAACCATGATCGAATTCACAAAAAACACACAACACTAGCCACAGAGGATTTCACGCACTCACAAATGAGCCAGCAAACCGCCAGATTTATCAGTCCTGGTGCCCCAAGCCACCAGCACACAGACAACCTCTTATCCCAGCAGGGACAGTGATTTGACATAAAAACTCAGTTTGCCCAAATCTGGTCTCATCAGGACACTCCAGATCCCTGACTTTACTTTTACCTCCCATTCTGCTTCATTAATTTGATTCCTCCTGTATCACCAGTTCCAGACATGACCCTATCAGACATCACTTATTCTTAATTTCCATTTACTTTCGCCAGAACTCCTTCTCTTCATTCCACCCATAACAAGCCCACCCCCTTAATTCCCAACAGACAAGCTTCTTTTTGTGTGCACAGATACCCATCACCTTCTCCAACCCTGAGCATCATTATCAAGCTTCAACACAGTGGCATAAGTAACCTCTTTCATTCTTACCAGATCACACCGGAAGTTCAAATAAACATCATGTCAATATACAAAAATGCTTCAGCACACAAGGCAAGTAAATATACTGTGGATTTCCCAGTTGTTGTCTTTGGCAACAAAAATAAACGAAATGTACCAAAGCTTCCACCTACCCTCTCAAATTGCTTCATTGAGAACATCACTTCAGAGAAGCTCAAAAGAAAGCGCCGTTCAAATCCACTTTCAAATATCTGCAAGATGCAAATGAAAGGTTGACAGGAACGCATTAACAGGAGATGTTTCATAGTCGACTCTCCATTACCCATGAGATCTTTTTTCCAGTTTATGAATCAACCATGCTTTGAACTCTGAGGTACTCAGCCTGGCTCTCTGTTCTCAGCTAGCAGGGCTTGTTAGTTCAGGTAGACACAGCAACACTGTTTGCAGTGATAATTCAGAGACAGAACAACACAGCCCTTCTAACAAACCCTGCTGGATCTAAGCTGGCTCTGTACATAGACAGCTTAGGTATCTCGTTAGGGTGATGTGGAAAATGTAAGCTGAAAGTTCTGGGACTGCAGCACAGATACATCAACAGGTAGAAAAAAGCTTAGGCCCAGAAGATCATTCAACTCAGCATTTTTCCTGTGTGGCAGGTTGCAGAAAGTTTACCACCATATTGGCAAAGCCAACCTCTGTGCTTCTGAAGGACCCAACACAGGAACAGTCCTTTGAGATACTGAGGATCAGTGCTCCTCAAGGCTGAGATGTGCAACACAGGAACACGCATCCAGATCTCCCTTTCCCAGACCCTTCGGAAGACAAGGACAGCTTTAAGCCTCCTCCAGTTTAACAGAAGCCCAGACAAATATCCTCAACTGTTTCAAGGACCACGTCTCTTGAGTAAAACTGGACTCATGCCACAGGCAGAACTAATCTTACTTCAACACCAGCCAACACTGAAGACCAGATGAAATTTGATCTTTTTTAAACAATTGCAACAGCCTTGTTCTCCCATTGTAAATCACAGGACATTTTTTATTTCAAATGTTTTTTTACATACACAGTACAACTACGGTCCACATTGTAAACCGCAAAATTATAATGTACTGTAACAGAAAAGCTGAAGAATTAAGACTCCATAGTAGCATCTCCTATTAATCTTTGCAACACTGCATTTGATAAGAACGTATGCAGCTAATCCTGTCAATACTATAAGAGCAATAACAGTACTGAAATATGCCTTCCCCTGTATTTTCTAAATCAAACTGCACTTGCCTGAACCTTGTTCACAAGGCTAAGCCACGCTGTCTAAATGTCTGGCAGCTTAGTGAAAAATGTACTTTTTTCACTAAGTTCAACTCACTGACCTGCTTTATAATCTAAGGCTGAACGTGCCCCTTCTCTGTTCTCACTCCTTCTCCAGAGGCTGTAGGTGTTCGAGTCAGAGCCTGGTTTTCACTGCAAAGATGTCTGCCACAAAGGCACTGCTACATTGACAGTCTGTGTGAGACTCTCAAGGAGTCCCAAGATCACAGTAGACATTATTTAATGCACTGCGCCGCTTCTCCCTTATCTGTGCAAAAAGGCTAAAGGGATCCTTATAGTCTATTTCCTAGCTTGAAGTGTAATGTCCTGAAATCAGCCTGCTCTAGGGAACTTGAACTGCTACAAGCAGCTATCTTTGTTACCTTCTCAATAGCTTCCTTGGTCAAAGAATCAGGCAAGAACACCTTCTCAGCCAACAGCAATGCAGAGATGGTGTTCAACAGGGTCTTGCAGCAAGATGATGAGAGATCTGGTGTTTGCAACATTCTTATTAAAATCTGAAATGAAAGAGAGAGCACTGATATTTGTCTATGAAGACAGTGATTGTATGGTCTGAATGATTTGGACAGCCGCTGGAGCTGGAAGGCGTAGTGTTCTAAGCCCACAGAACTGAATCCTAACAGTCCTGTTAAAGTTTAAAGGCATTAAATCTACATTTGAACCCAGCGCAGTCAAATGTATATGAATCTGGTAGAACTGCTCTACCATTGATATGGAGGTCTAGATGTCTTCCACAGCGGCAGGAACTACAGCTCAGCATGGTCTCTAGCAGCAGCAGCCTACTTTTCCTCTTGTTCATTTAAAGGAGGACTACATCAGCATCACAGTACAGAGGTAAATTCTCACAGGATCAGAGAGGTAATAATACTCACAATAAATGTCTCTGTTCACTCAGCTCAAATCCCAAGCCCACTGATGCATCAGAAATGTGTACGAGTGCTTCAGCTGACCACACCTCTTCAATATTCAATTGGTACTTCTTTGGCACATCAGCCAAAGCAATGGTCTGACCTACCTGGCAGACATCTTCAGGCAGTGAGATTTTGGATCCATTTCCATGTTCCACGAGGATCAGATAAGCTTGCAAGATCCTTTCCATCTGCTCTGAAGCCATACAGCAGTTGGCCTTAGTTATTTTCCTCTGCAAGACTAAGACTGACTCCTGTTTAAATAAAAAAGGAAAGCAAAATGTTTCAGGGAAATGATCAGATCCTGTTTCACTCACTGCTATTTGAAAGGCATTCTAAAGAATCAACAACTCATCTGTCCGACAAACTACTGTTGACGTTCTCGTTCATGTTCAACAAACTAAACCTTGCAGAAACACTGTGTGATTCCCATGATGCAAAAACACACATCCGAGATTCCTGGGACAGAAACACAAATACCTCCCAAGATGAAGGTCTCCTGAAAGGCCAACACACAACATACAAAACAGGAAAGAGGAAGAAAAATACTTGGCCCCAGATCCACAGTGGTATGGAAGCAAACAGCTTCCAGTGGAATTATTAGAACTTAAGTACTTTTACACTTTATGCATCACTATGCTAATGTGGATGCTGAGAGGTTACTCATATCATCTGCATTATACAGATAATGGAGCTACCCTGGATCACTCCCATTACTGTCCCTTTCTGTCCAGAGGATATAAACTCCCATCTTTGATCCTATAAATTGAACCCAATTTAGAGAGCTATCATGTGACTATGTGAATATTTCCCTCCGAGCAAGACACTCCCCACATCCACTGGTTCCCAGGGTAAAAAAAAGAAAACCAAGCCTCATTAAAAATAAAGGGAATTATGTCACCAATTTCCAAGATTTCATTTCAATTGCAGATGCTGAGTGACTTAGCTCCCAGGGATACAAAACATCCAGTGGCAAACCATTCTATAGCTAATAACAGTTAAGCAATAACTGTTACCATACCCGGTGAGGTAGAAGGAAAAAGATGGGATTTTCTGGGAACCTATGAATAGTCACAGGGAGGGAGTTCCAAGATGGAACAAACACGGCTATTTACCCATGCTGGAAGGACTACCCTGAAGTCTGCATGTACCATTTCCTCCAGTTTCCTATTTCACCCATCTGAGCAGCACAACAGACCCAGCTGTCGGTTGCAAGAGGTTTTGATCCCCCTTAGCGAATCCCAATTGCTAGCAAAAAAATCTGGTGTTGCTCAGGTAAGTAAAGAGCACCTGCCAGGCCCTTGCTCATCATTCGACATCACCCTGACCCAACACAGCGCAGCCCACGGCACTCAGTCGTGCTCCCTCAAACCTCAGAGTGTAATCCCCAAGCAGCAACATGGGAACATCCAGACTGAAAACACTGATTTTTCAGCACTTGGCTCTGAGGCTCTCCAGGTTCAGCCCAGGTCTTTGCTGTAAAGAGAGCTGCGGGGCAAAAAGCTTCTCCTTTACTGCCACTAAGCAGTTTTAGAACAGCCAACATACCCAGCTCAGCAATAAAAAAAGCAAGCCCTAGCACTCCCACTCCAGCAAGGGGCCTGTGATGTCTGCCTCTGCAAAAGCAGATCCTACAAAACCTCCTTGCCCAGGTTCCTATCCAGACTGAGCTCCAAGTCTGGCACACAGCAGTTCCTTTCTCACTCACAGCACAGCACACCCATCAGGGTCACTCTGAACATCTAAAAGAAGAGTGGGATTTTTCTCATGTGCATGATGCTGTACTTAATGCTTCCAAAGCAGAAAAAAAAAACAATTCTGTTCCCATAAGACACAAATACTTTTCTTGATAAATGCACAGGGCTTTTTTTCAGTCTCTCGTGAATTAAGATAAATAAATAAATAAATCAGTGTACCTCCAGGCACTTGAAGACAATGTCAAAATTCTCCTTATGGATATGGAGTGCAGCTGATCTGATCATCCTCACAAAAGCTTCTCCTACAGTTACCCATGGTAGTTCAATTTCTTCTTCAGTAATAGGCCCCAGCTTTGACAGAATTAACTTCATAGCCTGCACAGGAAAAGAGCACATCATGTCCTTATACTTAGAAAATAAATCTAGCAATCCTAAAATTAGTTAGTGCAATACACTGCTAAAATACTCCAGTGACGTTCACTCTTTCTAGAACAACTACCAGGGAAAAAAAACAGGCTATCACTTAAAATCTGAAATATCAGCAAGCAGTACTATTTTAACACACAAGAATACTGCATAGGAATTACTAAAAACAATCTTCCTATCTCATAGAATATTCTTAGAAGAAGGCTTTCAGATTTTCTTAAGTAATGAACAGCATGCTTATCACCAAGGATCCACCGAGGTGAACAAGACAACACTTGCTCAGTGGTTTCACTGAGCGCTACCTAATGCTCCATTACAGCAACATTTAAACCAGCAATCTTTTCTTGTCTTTACCGTCTCTGTACAAGAGTGGAACATGTTTCGAACACCCTTGCACATCTCAAAAAGTAGCTGTCCTACACCTTCCACCTTCTCAGGGTGCTCCCCCAGGTCACGGAGCATTAAATTGAAGATTTCATTTTTATCAGAAACCTACAAAACATAAGAAGAAAAAAAAAGTTATTTTGTATTCAGAGCTGCCAGCTGGATAGAGGCAATTAAATGGCTCTACAGCACCACATCACTCTCCCAGTCCTGCCTTCCCACAACAGTTCAAGCTCATTATTTCTGCAACCACATAAGGAAACTGAAAGGGGAAAAATGATCAGCTGTTCAGTCACTACAGCTCCCCCCGCAAGACGTACACAGGTCTACTCAGGTCACTGCAGCTGAAATACGTGGTTTTGACTACTGTGATTTTAGAGTTAAACATGTGCATAAATGCACCATTAAACTGGTCTCAACTGAAACACAAAGGTCGCTGCACTGGTGTGCAAAGAGACGTGTATCAGTTGAACACAGAATCCAGTCATCCAAAACTATACTTGGGAATACTGCAAGATCTTCTGGCCCAAGATTTTAAAACACTCCATTTCTGAGGATTTGACTTGGAGTTCAACAATTTCTGAAAACAATCAACTAAACAATTGTGCTTTATTAAGGTCTTTCAATCTAGGACAAAAATGAGGATACCCAAATTTGTTAGACAGTCTCAGGAATCTTTTGTATATTTTGACTAAATAAAAAACAACAACTACCACTCCCTTTCCTTACTCCATGAAATGCTGCTGTCTGATCTTGACTGATTTGCCTGGGAACAGTATATATTCTGATCTTCAGGTGTGCAAAAAGGTTGCCACAAGAATTTCAGTTCTACAAAGGCCTTAAAGCATTAATGAAAAAGCCAGTGAGCAAACGCGCATTTACAGACTAAGGCCTCCGTTTTGCAAGATTACCTTACCATTTCTTAGTCATTTTAGATAAACCAATCACAAATGTTTGGTTTAACTGCTCTTAAAATAGAGAGTGCTAAGGCCTCTATTTGCCACTGCTAATATGAAGTGCACGACATTCTCAGTAATAACACTCAATAGAAATGACAACTCAGAACACACTCAACGCCAGTTCAGGTCTTGTTAATCCTTTGGAGAAAACCTAATATTACACATTGAATCCAAGAGCCACCACAGAATGGAGATAGCATCAAAATACAAACACCTCACTCACCTTTCTCATTAGAAAGACAAAACTTTCGGCAGCAAAGTTTCTGATGTGAAGTTTGTGGTGAGCCAGCAGGGTGCTGTACAGGCTACAAAGACACAAAATAATCCACTGTCTTAAAGGTGTCGTGGTTTTAGGCTGATCCAGCAACTAAAACTCACACAGTCTCTCCTTCTCCAGTAAAGTAGAGAGGAGAGAAAAAAAAACAAACCAAAGGGACTGCGGGTTGAGACAAGAACAGAGGGAGCACCCACCAACCATGGTCCTGGGCAAAACAGACAGGGCTTTCTCAAAGCAAAACAGTTTATTAATGATTACTTAGAAGGACAAAGGGAAACAAAAAAAACGATTACTCGAGAGGACAGAAAGAAACAAAACCAGATCTTAAAACTGGCACCTTCC